GAGTAACACCTACCAAGCTCTCATTGAAGCATGTACCAAAGGTCAAAGTCTGTAGGCTGCTAGGAAGTGTCACACCAGCCAAGCTGCGGTTGAAACGAGAGCCAAAGGTGAAGGTCTGCAAATTACATGGTAGCTGCAAACCTTCCAAGCTCTGGTCAAAGTGCTCGCCAAAAGCCAAAGTCTCGAGGCTTCTTGGAAGCAGAACACCATCCAGGCTCTGGTTGAACCACGCACCAAAAGACAAACTCTGCAGGCTACTTGGCAGCAAGACCCCATCCAAACTTTGGTCAAACTGTTCGCCAAAGCACAACGTCCGCAGGCTCCCTGGCAGAGTGACCCCTACAAGGCTTTGATTGAAAAATGCGCTGAAGTTCAACGAGGCAATTGCATCAATGGCATTCAACTCGTCTGTACTCATGGAGGCTTCGATGCCGACCGTGGGGATTTCAGGTTTCTCAACACATAGGGCCAGGAAGCTCCTGGCTGCATGACCAGGATCCATGTGCTGAGCTATATAGGTGATCTCATCCCCAAGAGCTTGTTGTAGCAATGGCTTGGAATCCACCAGCACCTGGTTGGCTGGGCCGTGTTCTGAAGGGAGCAGGGAAACCAGCAAGTGCTAGTCAGCTAGTCATGGTTCCTTGTCTGTTCATTAAGCACTTTACAGCAACTATTTTATAGAGCCTGCACCTCTGTCACTGCCGTCGAAGTTGGTTCTTGCAAACACTGACACTATAATTGAGGTCAAACGCTTTAGCGAAACCCCACTCCTGTGATCTCCTCTTAGGTATTCAGGCGTCTCTTTGCCTTCCAGCTAAACACATGGGTCTGGCGGCCCAGCGGCCCATGGTTCCCAACAGGGCTCCGACCGTCCGACATCCGACCGTCGCCTCACCACCGGAGGTCAGCACCAATCTTCGCCCTGCTTTAGGTCCCAAATGGGTGGCGATGCGCAGCACCACCTCCCGCACGGTGTTCGTAGCGTCCACTTGAAGCGGAAACCTGGGCGATGCAGAAAGAACACGCGGCTGAGGTCGAACGCGTTTCGAACCAGGCTCAGTCGGTGGAAGGTGGTGTAAGATTACCAGAATTGGTTGAAGGGAAAATTACGCTTTTGGGGGTCAGAGCATTGGTTCCTTGTCGATGTTCCATGATTTTCCCTTAAAACAACTCGGTGTAAGATGTGCATGACCCCAAAAAACGTAATTTTTACATGGAACTTTAGCAAGTGGATGCAAGTGGTAGGATCAATTCATCATGGCACTGCAGATTGATATCTTCTTCCAGCCAGCCTTCAACGTCTTTTGAGTAAAGGGGGTATTGGCTCTTGCTGGGGAGTGTAGGAAAACCGGCAATCCACGTTCATTCTGGACTGCTCCCATGTCAAACATCATCAAACATCTGTTTCAGAGGCTTGAACTAAACTTCCACCGACACAAATCTCGCACAACACCAAAGAAACACATCAACCAATGACAACTTTACGTTCCAGAAAGACTTGGTCGTCCCCAGCTCATTGACTCATGGCAGCTACCCAAAAGGTGATCATGCTGTTTGGGGAGGTTGTCAATCAAATGGTGCACGGCCAGTGACGCATGATGACGCATGCAAATGCAAAACTGCTTTGCAGTGAACCGAACACGGCCTGTTCGTCTTGGGGGACCTATGGTACCATCCCAGTCTGTCTTTTAAGGCTTTACATTGAAGTGAACAACAATTTGGAGAAATGGGGAGAGGGATCAATGTCAATGTGCGGATAACGTACTGAGAGGTAGGTGGTATTAAGGGCGGTATAGTAGGCCATTACAAGCTGCAAAAGGTGATCTCAGCAGTCTACAAGTTCCAATGAAATCCGTGATGTGCTGAGTCATCACCCCGCACAACCTACATGTTCTAGTATGTCCGTTCACGGACAAATCTTCCATATTCAAGAAACCAACTATAAGCTCCATGCCAAACCAGAAACTCAACCAGCCAAAAAAGGTGTTCAATTTGTTTCAAGACATGTGACAATCTCTCTCTCTCTCTCATTTCTCTCCGACTCCGTTCCAAGAAACGTCGCACCATCAAGGCCCTGCACCTGCAGAGTCCGAACGTCCACGCTCTCCGCCGCCCGCTGTGCCTCGAGCAAGAGCCTCAGGAGGTGGGGGGGGGGCATCGGCTGAGAAGCTGCGGATCCAGACCCAAAGGCTCGCGAAAAGGCGGGAGGATGCCAACTATCCGAACAAGTAATGATGTTTAGGAGACAGGCTCCACGGATGTTCGTGTTAAGCACCAACAAGAGTGCACTTGCCAGAGTTTGGAATGTTACACCAATCAACACCAGCTGCAAGCACCGGGGGGGTGCGAAAAAAGAAAGGAGGTGAACGCGGTGAACCAAGTGAGTCGTGAGCGTTCACCTGTCGGTCACGTGAGTCGGTCTTCTCCATGTCTTGGGGAGTCCAGTCCTGTGAACCAGTTCTTCGTCGAAAAAGGGACCCGGGAGCTGTTCTGAACGTTCCATTCATCAGTGAAACAAGCTTTGTCTATTTTGACTCATCATCGATACAAATGGGTGAGGGGTCAGGACCCTACCTCCTGTTTTGATGTTTTTTCCATGTTTTTCCAGGTGGGGATATGTGAGGATGACTTGGGATGACTGAGATCGAGATCCAGAACGGACGGTGACGCGGCCGGTGCTTCGCTCCAAGCGACCGCTCTGCGCGCTCCAAATCTTCCGAGATGAAGCTCAAAAGGGTCGCATCGTCCAAAGTGCTGGCACCCGTGCCCATGGGTTCGCTGGAGAGGAACCGAAAGGAACGAGGCCCTTGGGCCTTGCTCCTTACTTGCTGTTCAGAGCGGCCAACCGATGCGAAAAAAAATAAACTTACAATTCCCTGGGAGGAAGGGTGTTCTTCATGATGTTTTGTATCTTGATTGACTTGAGCATGTTTCCGTGACTACTATAGGCTATAGGGTGCATAGGGACTCTGCAATAATACTGTAATAATCAATATGTGTATGAAATCACATCGTATCACATAATAGTCATCAGCAAATCTATCTTTCAGATTCACAGGCAAACCCTATCTTCGATCCACTCATGGTGATGTCACCGATCGAGTCGCAAGGAACTATTTAAACACATCGATCCCTTCCTTCGACCGTTCGACGAGCGCAACTTCGCAAGACAGCAAAGCTCTGGCACGCGGAAGACATCGCGGTGGGGAGGTGGGGATCGTCGTTCTTTTTGTCGCGTCCGTGGACACTTGTGGTGAAACGTGAAGTAGAAACAAATCGAAACCCTTAAGGATGCTGTACGAATCTGTACGATGAACCCTTGGCCGTGTGGCTAAACCCCATCTTCACACCGACCCAACAACTGCCTATCTGTGACCCATTTTTTAGGGATACGGTTGATGTGTTCGCATCCTCAGTGGCGTCAAGGTGAGGGTTGATCCACTTATGGCCAGGGTGTTGACTTTTTACAAGCTAACAGTGGAGCAAAGAGCTCCGCTGCGGAAGATTTTGACATGGCCTCAGAGGCTTATGGTAGCTCGTGCAGTGTATCCGACTCTCCGACTAGACCTGTTTTGAGCCAACTGGTACTCGTTTTCCCCTCTCCTAGGATCCAAAGGCGCGACACTTGAGCAGCAGATTCTTCTCTGCAAGCCTCTGAGGCTGCCTATAGAGTCTATTCCAACCCCTCAGCACAAAATACACCACTAAAGACACCAAAAGAATCTAACCTGTGAACGCCTCAACATTGCGAACAAACATCGAATCAACACTTGAAATGACAACCGGAAGGGGTGAAATCAACATTAACCTGCAAATCGATCTGCTCAAAGACCTCGCATCAGCGATTCCAGCGTGGGACTTTGGACCAGTGGAGGCCTCAGTCAGAAGGTCCAGCCGAGCGATAAAGGGCCCCCGATGGGCGGGCTTATGTCCTGGAAAAAACAAACATGAAGTCTGGGATGTGTGTTTTGCCACATGGTTAGCCACGAAGTCTGGGAGTGTCTGAAGCCGGCTTTTAGAGCAAGTTGTTGGAGATCAAAGGCCAGTGAGTGCACGGCAGGTGTAGGAAGCATGGAATAAACACAGGTGTGCCAAGTACAAACGGATTCACTGGATCGTGCTCAATGTGGAAGAACTGGACAGACTGGACCACACCACAAGCGAAAAATAGAAGTTTACATCGACGGCAAAGCCGACCAATGAACTACCAGAGATGTGTTCAACACCGTTACTTGCTTCATACTATACATGAACATGATCGAATAATAATCCCGAGTACCTATTTTAAAACGGACCCTATTTTAAAAAAAAAGTCACGTCGGACCGCCCTAAATACGGCTTATATTTGTTTTAAATTACCGCCCTTTCAAGCCGCTACTAAACTACCAACATGGCCGATTTTGGAGGGGTTTTTCGTATTAGGTTCCAAAAACAACCGTAACTGCCCACCTCTGTCCGCCCTGTCTATCCACCATGACACGCTGCGCTTACACCAGCAGGCTTTCCTTCCCCCGATGGCACGGACTCACGCAAACGCCCGTGCCACCGAGGTAATGCAACACCGCGTGCCACAGCGACATCATCTTTCAAAAGCTTTAGCTGTTAGTCTACTGAAGAATCACTATTCTAATGAAGGTTTTTGTAGGGGAAAAGGAAGACCCTTCGATCTGGAGGTTTTTTGCATTTTTGATACGAGTTTAATAGAGGATTTTATACAACTTTTCTGGATTACTTTTTGGTTTTGAAACTCTTTCCAGGTGACCCTATTTTGGACCCCCCGATTTCAGGGACCCCCTATTAGAAAAAGTGCGACCGAGGTTTCCTTATTGAGGGGGGCGGGCGCGTTTTTTAATAGGTGGACCGGATTATATTTTTTCGAAAGTGTGACATGCCTCAAGGGCCTTGCCTACATCCTTTGGGACTCTCCACACATCTCTCGGTATTCACCGGGCGGCAACTGCCAAGTGGTCCGAAGCTCAGCAAGTGCTTTCTCAGATCGCTCCTGTCGCACAGTGGGCTGAACGGGCGATGTGTGCACCATCTGCGCGCGGCATTTGATGGCGCTGCAGCAGCGGATGGAGTCCCCCAAGTAAGGTAGAGACACACAAGCTTGAACACAGGGCAAGGATTGGAAACGAGTCCATCTGGTTGCTTTTGTAGACCTTCAACCAAAGTCGTTCCATCAAAGCCCTGAGATGGAATGTGACTTGATCTTCCTGGCGTCTAAGTAGCCAGAACTTCGGACCAATCAGAATGGTGTTCCGAAAACTGTGCCCTCAATGTCTTCTTTCAGCCCTACTCAAAAGCTGCAAAGGACAGGTAGTCTCTCAAACTACTGCACTTTCCCATCTCAAACTGCTGCTTCGTTTGCAGCGAAATTCTTAATACACTCACATTCCGCCCCAGCTTGTTTGTTCAACCCTGACTCGAAGAGAAGAGAAACATAGCAAAAACAATGCAAAACATGTCTCCTTGGAGGTTTGCGAGAGGAAGTTGGACACGCGTCGGATGGCGGTTTTCACACATTTGCGAAACCTCAGCGGAAGGCGGCGATGCAGCTGAGGTTTAATTCGGCCAGAGGCAAACTGACCGCTCAAACTGGCCGCTCGCAGTCGCAGTCCACGTTTCAAAGTGCACATCCTCCAGCCTCTGAGTCTGCCACTCCATCACTGTATACTTCTTGCTGGACCACTCCTTGCCGAGCGCAAAGCTCGAGGCTTGGCTTGTCTTTTAGAAAGCCATGGTGGCCATGGAGTCTTGAAATGGTCTTTTGGGAGTCCAGGGGTGTACCGTTGACATACAAATATATATATATATATTTCCATGAGACCAACTATTGTAGTACTGGCCTCTCAGCAAACGGTAGCAGCTTGCCATAGAATCATGTAATAATGTAACATTACAAACAAACAAACAAACAAACAAACGAACGAACGAACGAAACCAAACCAAACCAAACCAACCAACAAACAAACAAATAAACACAACAACCACAATAACCACCACAACCACAACAACCACAACAACAACAACACCAACAACACACAGACAGCAGCTAAACCGGGTTTCTCGGTGTTTCTCCACTGCCGTCCAATCCAAAATACCGCGATCTCCGTGTTTCACCCGTCATCACCGTCATCGCGAACGCGTGGCGTCTGATGGGGACGCGAAAGCGACGACAAAAGGACCCCGTTCGGAGGACGAGTCGTGGGAGGAGGGAACAAACGGGGCAAAGCATGCCAAAGCAACATCAGGGCAATCTTGCTGTACAGAAAACATGTTGTCCCCTATGGTCCTTGGGTGCAGACATTGATTGAAGTGCACCATCTGGAGCACAAAACAAAACATGCCCCTAGTCAACCACACGGCACAAAAGAAACGGCGCCACGTTCCATCCTCGTGCATGGCCACGACCGCAGAGGTGGCCAGCAAAAGAAAGGTTTCGGGCCTCAGGTTAGCCGCGGAGGTGTCCCATCCGATGTGTTCAAATTGTTCGGCCTCGGCAGAAACTGAGAGAGATAGAGAAAGCATTGTGTAAACTCAGTAAACTCAGGTGTAAACCTTTTTTTTGTTCCGCCTGACTTCTGTGGAGTTCTTCCATCAATCATGTTGATTGAAAACAAAAACTAGCATGGCCCCCCATGTCATATATATACATACCAAGCCTTATTACCGTTAATTATATAAGTATATATAAGTCAAGGTGTGACACCTTGCGCTTCTGGATCATTTCTGACGCCTTGTTTTCCCCCAAGGCCACGTGTCTGCTGCGCGTCCCGGCTCCTCCACGGTGAGCTCGGCAAACCTCCGGTACTCCAATCCATTGCCTGGGACACAAGCCCAGGCGCAGTTCATGTCCATTTTGCTGAAACCAATCCTTTCCAAAATCAGGTCAACAAAAGGAATTCCTTTTCATTCCCTTTGGTTTCCTTTCTAGCATCGATCAAGTTAACAAAAGGAAGTTCTTGCTAGATCAGACTCCCTGTTTTTTGGGGGCTCTGACTATTACACTCTCTCTCTCTGAAGAAGTGGCGGTGGCGGTGGCGGTGGCGGTGGCAGTGGCGGTGGCGGCGGTGGTGGTGGTGGTGGTGGCGGCGGTGGTGGTGGGAACTGTTTACAAACAAAAATATCAACATTAAACAGTTCTGGTTGTGTTCTGTGGTCAGTAAATCTTCTAACCCCCCCCGCCGGTCTGCCAGTTACTTTCCAAAGCATAGGAACTCGAGTAATCCGACATAGATATTTCCTGATCTTGCCCGGATCCAGTTTCCTGGGGCCCCCACAAACTTCGTCAGGCTGAACCTGACAAGTCTGCACCAGGAAATGCTCTAAGAAGCTGGGAACAGGGTGGGAAACTGGCTCAGACTCGATATGACATGAGTACTAGCTCAGATGGTCTAAACTCACGGTAATGCCACTAAGAATCCGGAAGCTGCGGCAAAAAAAAACTTCTGCGGCTGAAACTGGTCTCGCTTCAGATGGCCCAAATGAGATGACGCTGTGGCACTATGACATACTATGACTATTGTATGATCTGTACCCCTGTCCATCATGATCTAAGATGATCTAAGCACATCCTCAAAAGGTCCTTGAACCGTCATGTTACCGCCTACCTTGACAACAAATGCCCCATGGTCATCTTCTCAGGACATAATTTAGATTCAGATATATATATATATAGCTCCTTCTATTGATCTATACATATCTAGACCAATAAGTCTAAGGCATTGGTATACCGGTATACCCATAATATGTAATAAGTTTTATATAAGATAAATGGATAAATGTGTAATATAAGATAAATGTAATATTTACTAATAATAATTAGTAATATGTAATATAAGATAACTGTGTAAGGTATGGTCCCTGGCTGGTTGATCTCCTAGGTCGACCCGTCGTCGAGACGCGAAGCGAAGCTCGCCTTGCCGTTGGCTCGTCGCTGGTCCAGCAGTAACCAATTGGACCTGTTCAAGCGAAGGCACGTCGCGTGTTTGCTGGCTAAAGAGTTACACATGGACGCATTCGATTGCCGTCCATAAAAGCTGGAGAAGTTTTATTTCCAATAACTCAGATTGGTTGATCTGACCATAAACGACGGTTTGGGAAAAAAAGATAATATGGCATCTGGTCTCAACGGATGACCCAATACCGATTCCCTTCCGTGCGTTACTTTCATCTCCTGCTGATAGTGAAGTGGGGAAAGCCACCCAAGAATCTATACTAATTCAAAGTATTCTTGACATGTTTGGCAAGGTCTTGGGACTTGGAGATCGACACTGTCCACTCCAAAATGGGTCTGTAATATGTCGGTGGAAAACCAGGAATCTCCAATGATCGAATCGGCACCCTCCGATCTTTTGGTCAAGGTCGTTGCTTCACTCTGGGGCCGCCACAACTCGAAGCAAACATTAATGACAGCCTCAGCCAAGCAAGACATATGACAAACCAACGCACATGTTGTGGGCTTGGTGTATGGCAAAGATGGACGGCACCAAAAAAAGGTACAACCAAAAAAAGAAGGCACATCTCCTGGTACACCTCATCTTCAGCTACATCATCACTAGGAATCGACAGACGTGAGGAAGCTTGGAGTAGATCCAATGGGTGTCATGTGCGGTTGACACTCAACGTGCGTTGGAATGACCGGGCAACACCGCAAATAATAGAACAAAAACAGGAGGCCCCAGCAGTGCAGCTTGTAATTCTGGGACAGTTATTCGGTATTCGTCCATTGTCCATGCCGACCCACATTATATCCGTCTTAGTATTAGTCTGCAGCTCCTTCTGTTCTTGGAGGGCCATCTCCTGTTGCTCAGGGATCGCACATGCCGGTCTAGAGGACCCACGATGAAGGGGGGCTTTTCCAAGGGTGTTTGTTAGCAACTCAATGTTGTAAACCAAGAAAACTCGGTCGCGAGCTATGTCATAAGTCGTCTGATCGTATAGGCTTGTGCAGCTGCTCACATGCTTCGAAAGGCAGCCAGTTCTCCCTCGAAGCTTCTACATATAGCACATAACTTCGGATTTTGTTCCATCACGTGAATGATTATGGTTGGTATATAAGGTCTTCCACACAAAATGTTGCAGAGTTGTGCCATCTAGTGGAACAGGACATGCCCACTGCACAAAACGTAGATCCCCATACATGTGTTGGAAACTGTTTATTGTAGGACCGGTCAAATTAATATGTTGAGGTTACTTTTGAAACTCCAAAGAGACTACTAACTGAAGATGATCATGAAGAAAACACCAATCCAAGGTAGCAAAGCCAATGGGTCCCAAAGTTGCAGCAAGTGGATCACCCAAGATATGGCTACAACTGGGTTTAGGTGAAGTCTCAACTTCAAAGACCACTGCGACACTCCAAGCAACGGCAGCGAAGGGATACCAGTACTCAGGGCTCAGGGTCCTGTGCGTCGATTGCATTGAATCGATGCAATTCCAAGAGAGATCAGAGCTGGCAGGGTTACACAAACTGGTATACCCATGGAACCCTGAAAACCAGTGCTCAGAAACATATAGAACAACTGTCAACTCCAGAGATCTCTAAGAGTCTCGAGAGAGAGAGAGTATACATATGGTCTATGGTAATGTTCATGGATCTTGGAAGTTGGGGATCGAAGAACAAGAACGTATAGAACGTCACATCAAGAGAATCCCCTTAAAATCAGAACCTTTGCAGCCATTGAACACAAGTGGGAGAGGCAGCTTCTTCCTGTGGAGCATCCGCATATCACAGCTCGTTTCCTGGGCAAGCGCAAGGCTTCCTCCTTTAAGTCCACAAGGGGTTCCGTTGTTTTGCTGGATTGCACATGCACCGCTTTCGCGATAGCAAGATCTCAGAAGTAGTTCCAAATTGACAATATCTTGCACAGCATATGTGTTTCTCTCATGGGGGTCACACATCCATTCATGACCCTTCTGAAGAAACCCTCCAGCAAGAGATTCTTGGGAACTTTCTTGCATGGTCTTAAAAGCAACAAAAGCCACTGCACCTGCGTTTGGGAGAATAGCTCATAAGCCTGATGGAATCATGTTGGTCGGAAATCCGTGACTGCATGTTCAAAGGCCACTTGGAGAGTCCAATGAGAGAGCTGCAAACTCGATCACTACAAGGAGAGCTTACGGGTCACACATGGTCACATCACATCATACAACAGAGAGAGAGAGAGAAAGCGCGAGCTCTCATGCTCCATACGCCATGGGCCATTTTGGACCTTATGGGAAAGCCCCCTATCTCCACCGCATCGGGCCGGAAAAAAAGCCGGTCCCTTGTCCACTGCTCTCACGAATCAGCTGCGCGACTCTTTGCCTTGGAACGGCGTGTTCGCTGCGGAATGTCTGCTGTTTCACTACCCAACGATGTAAGAATCCACCAATAGCTCTGGCCAATGACCTATGTCTGCAATAGCAGGAGGTCTGCGAAGTCCACCACTCGGTTGAAAAGCCGAATGGCTGGGGAAGATGACCGGACACGTCCTGAAGAACATCGAGTACTACCTCTATGTTTAAAGGCACAAACTGTACCAGTATCAAACTGTCAGGAATGCTGTCCTGACTGAAAACCGAATCACAACGACAACAATCGAGTGGTGGCTGATTTGGAGTGAATCTGGTTGTTTCTGCTGGGTGCGTTCACAAATTATCTCAATACAAAGGGCGACTGCGCGAAGACCCACTTTTGGTGAAAGCAGGAGTCTTTTGGGTGGGGTCCCGATCGCATGAGAAAACCTGCATCATCACCAAGATCATACAGTACCCGATGATGTCATAGTTTCATATCAATGTCAACAAATAAATACCCTTCAATGCACCGATGATTCCATGTCTAGGGTCAGAAGAGGGACAACTCCCACAACACCTATACATGCTATTCCCCTCAGTAAAGGCGAAACGACGCAGACTCGCAGCGTCACGCCCACCGCCGTGGCGGAATGCCCAGCTCCCTCCCCTCCCCTCTTGTGGATCCAAAGCCCAGCGTGTTGAAGGACATCATCAAATTACAGTAAGTCTTCTTGCAATGAGGGCAGTATAGAGGGTTATAACTGTCCTGTTCATAAAATCAAATCTTCTGTAGTATAGAAGTATAGAACAGTTACATATCTTTAGAACTTTAGAACCTAAGGAAGGGCGGATACAATCACGTACTCTGGGAATAATCACTCCACATGGCTGAGGAGCTGTAGCCAAATACGGAGCTAGGTGATTCTTTTTTCAGTATTCATGTTTTCAGCCAGGTGGCGCATCCAGCTGTGTCATCCAAATCCTGGACAAAGCTCTGGCTTGGTCTTTTGGGGGTGAAACGCGGACAAAGAGTCCTTGCCTTTGAAAGGGTCAACACCCATTGTGAATTATACAGTATACACTTGATCCAATTGGAAGCTGTATGTGTGGTTGTTTCTCACTTTGCCTGTCTGATAACCATTGACAGCGAGAAACGAACAGTAGCTAAATACGCTACAACCTTTGGACTTGCCAATTTAAAGGTTCTAACAATTCCAATGCGTAGACGGCTGAATGATGAATGTTTCAGGAAATAGAACTTACCTGGCCGTTTAATATTTAGGACCATAACCGGCACCCTTGTTCTTGGCCCTAATTCCTACATCATTAACGGTTCTTTCTTGAACAAATAACAAAGAACTGTATATAGCTTTGTGCTGAGCTGAATGAAGCTTAGCATTGGAAACTGCAGAGCAATAACAATAACATTGGGAAACAAATAGGAAAATTAATGACCAACAATAGGAAAACAGAACTGCTAAAAGAAGAACACAAAACAATGACACACAAATCTAGATCACACAAAACAAATGGCCAGGCAAGAAGAAAAGCCAGAAGCGAGGATACAGCAATAAGGATCACAAGCACTGAATGAAACATATGAAGAGGTAAGGCTGACTAAACAATCAAAAGTGTTCAAGGGAGGGTGGCAAAGGGCAAAAATATCAAGAGTGGCACCTGCACACCAGCCTCGCAACGTTGGAAGACATGTGCGAAACTGTCACGATGTCGAAGGACGACCAACAAACCACGAAGACGACCAACCACAGCAAATAAGATTTCAAGAGGAAACGCGCAGCTTCTTTGCAATCTGTTCAGTCTCAGTCTCTCAGTGATTGCCCCTTTGTAATCTTCTGTCGAAAAACAAGAGCATGGCTTGCGAACACAGATTCTTCCTTCTTTGTTCTACAAAGATATAGATATAGGGTGACATCATAGCCAGTGCTTAATTACTACTGAAAGGGTACTATCACAAATGTGCCTCGTCCTATATGTGCGTCTGCCAAGCAGAGCGCAAGGTCGTTTGCAAAGATTAATACTCTTTATGTAAGTCTATAGTGATAGTCGTTTGTGCGCGAAACAAACAAACATCCCTGCAACGACCCAAGCTTGCCACTGGTTTTCACGGCCTGCCCCGTCAAGTGCTTTACACATCATATATACACTATATACCTACTTGTGCTTTCCTCGTTCGCAACCAGCAGCGTAGGAATTCCAGTCTTGGTCGGTCACTTCGGTTCGCAACCGGGTTTTTCACCGCGGGTGGAACAAGAAAATCACCTCCTCCGAGTGTCGCATCTGTCATCCCTCTTCCGCCCCCGAGATACATTGAGGGCCCCGGCAAGCACTTTAAGGATAGGAGGCCTCCCCCACGGAAGTCGGTGCGGGGATCCTGTGGCGAGGTCTTTCTGCGGCCGGTCTCCAAGTCTTTGGAAGCGAAAAGGGTGGAAAATTGGACGTAAGCCGGAAGTCCAAACTTGGGTGGTCCTATTTTACATGGTTTAGGTCTTTGATTCAGTAGGCTTTTCATGCCATTCATGAACATTTGGGCCAATCTTCATTGGGCAGCAAAAGTCCCACCTTGAAGCATACCGTTCAAAGTTCAAAAGTGACCTCTGCTGCTATACTAGCCGATGATAGCCTGCCTTTCACCACATCATCGTTTCTAATTCAACAAACACCGCGGTTTGCGGTGCGGCTCCCCACTGTACGATGATTGGATGAATCGCGATGGTCTGTAGAGGGCGAATAAATCCAAGGATCCATGATGTAAATGATCCAGGAGTTTTATAAGGATTGGTTTGTATCATGGATCCTTACACATATATTGGTTTACATGATCCATGGCTATATTGGCTTACATGATTTATATGAAGGGAACATCTACAGGAATCCCATATATAGTCTTGGGGTGAAAACCATGGTGAAACTTGTAGATATTCCCTCAAACCAATTCTGGGATTTACGTGGTACTGGGTACGTACATGTTAGTATGGCTCCAGTCCCTTTTCATTTGAGTACAAATTTGACTGCAGAACAAATGGATGTCAAATCTGGGTTTGTTGCTTCTTCCATGTAAGTCAAACACATCAACACGTTTTGGCTTTCTCGGAAACTCTGACCAATGGTCCTGCTCGGCCAAATCAAATGTAAAAAATAGACACTCCCTGGAATAATCATGGACGCGGTACTTGTAGAGGAATATATCCTCATCCAAGGGGCCATGATGGGCCATCCATTTCGATGATGATTCCAGGGAGTGTACATAGATTGTTCGCAACCACTCTGGGAGAAGGCATCAAACAAACTACCAACATAAACACCGTGTTCCCTCCGAGCTAGGCGCAGACTGGGGAGCCCCAATTCCAGTCGCCACAAGTCAAGGCGACTCCGGCCTCATCTTGAAAACCCAGTAGCTTCCAGCGTGGATCACGCCGTCCTGTGTCAAAGGTCTTTCTTTGTTCAGTACAAGTGTACATGAGTGTTTATGCTCACGGTGGTTTGATGCACATACTGGTAAAAGAAGAGGAGTGTAGATCTCGGTGGTCGCCGTATCATTAAAAAAGATCATGAGACCAAATTCTGAGTCAAACTGATCCATCAACTTCCCTGACTGGCCAAGAGAAAAATGCCTGCCACCACCACCTCCTGGGCGAAATCGCTCACCACCGGAGCTCTCTCCCTCCCAGTCTCCTGTGGGCGTCAGTGTCCTATCTTTGCCGTCCAGCGCTGGGATCGCTACCTCGAGGTTCCATGGGGGACCGGGACACCGGGATCGCGCCGTTGGCCGTTGAGGTGGAAGGTGACAGATTGATAGAAGCGTGTCATGGCCGGCGATATCTGACTCCCCAAGAGAAACCATTCAAGTTCCAATACAGTACGGGCTATACGGTGTTTGACTGAGATCTGGAGGTCATTGGAACCATAGCTCCCTTATCCAATGAATGGCAACTTCCTTCTCAAAGCAGCTGGTGGAGCTTGTACCCCACCATTAAGTGGTTCTGGGGGATTCGGCGTCCAAACCAGAAGAGGGAAGAGTATAGTGTCCCTCATCAGTTCTTTTTAGTTGATCGCCTTCACCAACCCTTTCCTTCCGCCGAGGCCTTGAAGTAAGTCTGCAAGAAGTCCTGGCATGAAAGAAGTGAGCTGTCTGTCCGGTGGAAGCATTGCTACCAGGTCGAAGACAGGGAGAGCTTGTTGTCCATTCGATGCTATTTGGTGGCACCACAAGATGCAACCTGCATGTAGAACAAACACATTGCTGCACGTCGAATCCAAGCTTGAATCGAGCTGGCTCTCAAAACAGTCGACCCGTCGGCTTCATTCTGTTCGTCGATTCGTACGGAGTTCCACGTCGAATCGTGTCCGCAGCCCGCGCGCCTCGTGTTCCTCAGGCCGACCGGAGCCGAGCCGATCCGAAACTGGCTACAGAACAGGGGAAGATGCATGGCCTGTAAAGTCCCCAGTAACTGCTTTGGCATTGCAATTGGGGAAGATTCTACTTCGGAACTGTTTCGCTTGTTCTGCCTGTAACTTGAGGGTGTCAAAGAAAAATACCCGTTTCATCCCGTTTCGACTGCAGGCCGAACACGCGGCAGGCGAACACCCGAGGATACACTGGGCGTTGTTGGCTCTTTTCATTGCAAACGATGAATTTTATGCAGCTCTACATGCCAAACACAGAAGAAAATTCCTTCCCATGTCCCAGGCTAATGATGTAGTGAGAGTCGCTTCTGTCTTCTAATCAATGTATAGTTTCAGGTGTCCAATCACATCCAATCACCAACCGTCCAAAGACTGTTGCACACATCCGTGAAGGCATCTTGGGTCTGATTTAAACTTTACCATGCCATGCCATGTATCACAACACCGTCATGCCACCAAAGAGCTTGCGAGTGTGCATTGAAGGTTGTCGCAACCTCAGGAATCATAGTGATGAGTCGGAGGCTGAAATTAGCACTACATATATAGCAATACCATAATTTGAATATTACCTGCTTTACCCCCCGTTCATAGTAGATTTGATTGATTTGTTCCTTGTCACGAACTTCTATGATGGAAGATGAAAGCGTTTGGCAGAGTTGAACAAATCAAAAAAGAAAGACCATCCGGTCCGCGTTGAATATGTTTGCTTGCAGAGCCCACAACGTCGACGTCTCATGTCGACGCCTAGGTTTTCCCCGAAGAACAAAACAGGCCCAGGCGGGGCTCTCAGAGACCGCCCAGGCGGGGCTCCGGAGGCTGGACGATGGTTTAAGCGAGTAGAAGCCGTTCTGACCATCAAGCTACCAGCTTCTCGACCTTTTTTCGGCATCGTTCGATTGACATGCTACGGTATTGGGTTGAAGACCTGCAGGAAGCTGTTTTTGTCTTATATTAAATATTACCAGACTTCTTTTAGGGTCGTAATGAATATGGACACAAGCCGAAATGAACACACAAGAAGTTATAGGGTAAGTGGAGCGCAACCTGTTTCTAGCTGGAAACAAACTTCGCTGCAACGGCTACTACTGTAAGTCCATTCCAATCATTTTCAGCAACCTTGTAAGATCTTGTGAGCAACCTAAGTACACATCCTGTCCGAACATCCCAAGGAACTAGCCGACTTTCCAGTTTGGCCCAGGCCTCCTGTTGCAAATGACCCAAGACGACCTCTTCCTTCTGTCGAAGACGGTAGTCCTGGCCCCCCCCGGGACGGGACGCACTTCTGGGGCTCAACGGCCCTAAAAGGTGTGGCTTTGGAGAAAGCAGTCAGGTCAGGTCCTTTGGCTTCTTCAATTCGGGACTCTCTCCAAGGCGCCGGGAGTTGCCATTTAGAAAAAAGAAAACATAAGAAAACACCTTAATTGAGACGGGTTTTCACATCACTTGCACCAAAACAGGGTACATGTGTGGTCCTTTCACGTTGTTCGCTGGCAAAATGCCAAAGAATCCAGGGTCCCCGGACTCTCCAGCTACCTAGACCTCCAGAGATTTGCTTTTCTATATTCAGCTAATTGTATTTTTGTTAATTCCTTATCGACTCTAAGACTACCAGGGAATCCAAATGTGCATTTTTTTTGTTCAAACACGTTCGCACAAAAAATCCGTGCATCCGGCCTTTTTTGTCAAATGGACAAATTTTCTGGAATTCCTCCGAATATTGGGTTTGATTGGGTTTTTATCAATATAATTGTTTGGGTTTTTTGTCGATAAATTTTTGATAAAGTTTGGGTTTCATATGGGTACGCTTTTGTACGGTATTGTTTTTGTGTCCATACGGCTAAATACGCCAATTCGTTAATTAAAATGTCCATACGATCAATTCTGTCCAAATACGGCCTTCGCACCAAAAAAAGTGTTCATACGCCTTTCCAGGTATTGTATAGAGGAGGGACCTTATCGAACCTGGATCTCGATCTTGGTCCAACAAAACAAGCGGGATCAATAGAGACCCATGGTGAAATGGCGGTTTCAGGTCTTCGATGTCGATGATTCTACCCCCCATCGAAGGCAGCTTCCACCCATCGAAGTTCGTGGACGACTTCCAACGACTTCCACCCATCGGGATTGACGACTTCCTCGGACCACGATATGAACCAGCGAATCGTCTTCCTCACGCCGAGTACTATATGATACTATATGCGGATTGTTTGGTCAACGCCGATGTCTGGCTGGGTCATCAACCCACCAAAGACTTCCAACACCTATCCCCCAAATTCGCTGCCCCGAGGTGTCCCGCGTGTGGAACGAACGGTCACCGCACCGCACGGTAAGGTCGCCGGGGGCGGGGATCGGAGTGGGGAACCCACCCTCGCGCCTGGTCCCCTGCGGGCTTTTCGACGCAACAGGCTTGTAGCCAATCCTCAGATGAGGAAGCTTTTTGGATGCAAACGAACGTGGTGACATCCCCGACCGCCGTGCTGAGGGTGGTGAGGTTTCCGGGGCCCCCATGATACAACGGAACTGGGGACCCAACATGAAGGGACGGGGATGTGGTGACAATGATGTGGTGACATGCCGGTGACACGGAGGTCCGGCCCCCATCCATCGCAACGATTGGCCACCCCGCCTTACCCCCCCTACCATCCGCTACCAGTGGAAAGAATATGACGTAGCGTCCTACACATGTGGTAGTATTGTTCTTATCAACTTGCAGAAAATCCGCAGCCTGTTCCAACTATAGCGAACTCGCTCAGCAAAGGAGCCGTCTTTCGGACCATGTCCGGCCGACGAAGGTCGTCACACCGGTCACGACGATGGGGGCAAACACCCGGTCCGTCGGTGGAATTGGTACCAGCTTCTTCAAAGTGACCTCTTTGGAGTGCCATCCAGTGACCTTTTACAGGCCTGTTTGTGACCTCAAACTGGGATATCAAGTACGGTCACTTTGAAGGAAACCCGTGGGACGGTCCAAGCTTGGACGGTGGAACATCGAGTCGCCAGCCGCACGGACGTCCCGACGCTCAAAGAATGGCGAGCTCGTGAGTCACCAAAGAGTGGCTGGTGACACGGTTTTTACCCATTTTTTTATTCATGGGGATCTACTTGTCCATTCTATATTCGGGAACCCCTATACTATACTGTATCTTCAGCTTCACATCCATCGAAACCAAACACAGCAAGGCGATAGATGCTCTATTGGTGTAAAAGTCCATCTTTTCGAAGCTCACTGAAACTGCCAAGGAGCAAAGAAGGAGAATTGTGGTTTCGGTGGCTGGGGCGCCAAATAGGTATTCACCGCATCCGGTTGCAAGGCATGACGCCTGAGACAACTGCATGGGGCCCGGCGGGGGTGGGGGGGGGGAGGAGGATGAAGTTTGGAGAATGATCAGTGGATCAACCAAGGAAAGGTCAAGGTGTACCTCGACTTCGAGAGAAGGGCAGGAAGCGTGCGGCCGGCGTACGAAGAAAACCGGACAATCTGGTTGCAATGACATTGGCTCTTTTGATCTCTTTTGCCTCCCATTCAAGAAGCTTCAACAAGTCGTGGCTTATTAAAGGCTGAAAGCATCTGGAGACCGTTTCTTTGTAAACAACACATTGGGACTTGAGCCAAGTGTCCTCAAAAGGGCACCAAAGTCGCAACAGACGGAGCTGTGATAGGCTGCAGTCAAGGCACAAGAAGGCCACCATCGTCGGCCAAATCTAAACCCCAAAGATGACACTGCTAGGGTCTAGAGATGGCTGCATGGAGAATCCAACAGGAGGCGTGAAGACCATCAAGGTTGAAGACCATCTGTCCCATAATCAAAGCTACAAACCTTTTGCATGAAACTGGGCATGGCCGCGAAATTGTCCGCTGTCATATTGGATCAACGATATGTCTGGACCCATAGGAAACAAAACAAGGGAAACATCCTCCACTCCACTTGGTCTGGACCAAGGGATATTGAAAACAAAACAAGTGGCCCAAAAGGGTCCACGACTTAGTCCAACCTAGTAACCTAGTCCTTCCAGCGTCAAATTGCATTTTTCTCACGGAGCGAACTTTTGGGACAAGGCAAAAGGCGGCTTAGCCGCCCGAAGCGCTTGCTGCGGCCTCCTCACGAAGGATTGGACCCAAAAGAACGACTGGTGGGTAACAGTGTCTTCTGGAGAAAGCAGCGTCTTCCTCTGTCGGTCTATGTGAATGCTTCAGGTGCACGATACCAACTCAATAAGTAGCCCCAATGGAACGAGCTGATGGACAGCTTCTTCTGCTAAGTGCTTCTTCTGTTTCCAAAAGATCCCCCTTCGTAAGTAGACATGCCAGGGGTTTGCATGGACTGCTGTTTGGGAGAATGAGACCGGTCGAAACTCAAAAAAAGAACAAAGGAACAACTAGTTGGGACCTGTGAACAACTAGTTGGAACAAAGGAAGAACCCAAATAGTTCTTCCTGCGGACGACAGGTCCTTGTGGTTTTGGCGTTTGTCCTTCCATAGTGTTGGTACCTGGACAATTCAATGGTTTCATGTAAACAACCACCTGTTCCAACCGTGGCGTTTGAAAGAGACAGAGAGAGCGAGAGAGGAACGCATCAAGCGGCCTTGGCAGGTTGCAGGGCTGACAGGCTGGCGACATGATCAACGGAAAATGTTGCAAGATGTTGCAAGATATATACAGGTTTGCAGGGCTGGCGGGCAGGGGATTCCAGTGATGAGTAGTCTCGACCCTGGAGTGCTCGCAAGAATGGTGTGCGTGCTAAGGGATTGACTCAACCAAGAATCATTGCACTCAATTGAACGATGTGGACCAGCTGATATCGCCTCTGCTTCTAGTTTAGGGCAACTGGGGAGGACTACAGAATGGCCAAGTTGAGCCGTCTTGCGACCCGCGGCTCCGAAAAAAGAGTTGAGACATGCAAGGTGATGCCAAGAATGCGCCAGTTCTCATCAAGTTCGCGGCTCTGCAGGGTTTCAGAGGATCTGGGCTTCAGGTGTTTATTTTTCTGGAATTGACGCATCTATGTGGATGCACTTGTAGAGTACATGCAGTGAATGCACACACAGTTTCACGGGCAATGATTAACAGAAGTCAAACAAAAGACTGCGTGGATGCGCCCTTGGATTGACAATTCACATGTGTTTTACTACTTTATTGTATTGTTTAACCAAAACACACTTGAATATTAAAACTCTATATAGAATCACTCTGTTGCCCTCAGTCTCAAAGCAAGCATAGACATGGGGACTTGTTGATGCTATCATTGAGACATCCTCTGTTTACTTTGTGTAAACGTTTTAGACGAGACATCCCCGGTGTATCAACACTCGCATGGAAATCGATATGACGGCTGGCAGGCTGGATCCCGAAGGGCAAGCTTTTGCGTGCATGGTTGAAGTACAGGCCGAAGTGTCCATCTTAGATGGGGATCCACATCAAACGTCGGCGGGTTGATCCAAATGGGCCTCTTGAGTCAGTGGATCTGTACTCATTCCCACATGCGCACAAGCAAAGAAAGACCTCTGAGGATTCTGAACGTCTTGCAGACTAAGAAATGAGTACTCAAGACTCTCAAAATGCATCTGGACGAAATGCCGGTCAAAGACCCCAACATGGCCTTGTCTCACCAGCAGGGGTTTGATGTCTTAACCACTTTCTGCTGGCCCAATGGGTTCATTTGTCCTTCAACCAATAAGAGCCCCTAGAGTCAAAGCCTTGAGATGAAATTCTGAGGATTGCATACAAGCGAGATGATGAGGACTGTCCGCTGGGCAGGTATGCCAACGGCATGCGCCTGCCAACTCTCAGAGTGGCATTGCGATGAAATCCTGCAAACATGTCAGTGCAAGGCGGTGTGAGACTGTCAAGGTGAAGTCCGTTAGAATCCAACTTAATCAAACTTAATCCAAGAAAGCCATGTCTGAACAAACGACACATGCAACAAGGATGTGGTTCAAGGGAGCGTGCACTGCTCAAGCACCGGTCTTCTTATAGTCAGCAATATAATTAGCAAATACTGTAAAGACCTGCTTGGATTTGCCTTGCCAAGAACGACAGGGCCTCTCTAAATCCACACCACCATGGCGCCACTCTCCCTCGCTTCTCACTGATTCCCAACCTAAGACCTCCTCCATCGATGCTACCGCTGTCTAGGCCATGGCAACATGGAGGGTTGCTGTGCGGGTCGAATGGCTCGTGCATCAAACATGGCTGAGACGATACGTGACGTGAGTCGACCTTCCACATCCTTCCACGATGGAAGGTTCTCCGGTCCACCCAGCCCTTCCACGAAGAGTCCACGAATGGCGGCCAGGACTGTGAAGAGAAGGTATGAGAAGGTTCTGCATTAACACCAGAAATTCCCCTTCTTCAGCCAAGCAAACCAGACTTTCCGGCTCACACTAGCTGGAGTCCAACAATTTCGAGGGTCAGTGTTCCAGTGACATGACGGAAGAACGGTACGACCCTTCGCGGTTGGAGCGGTGGTCATCTCAAAAACAAGGATGACTTGCAGCGAGCGGGCGCACCAACCCGTCGTCATCCATCGATGACCTCACCCGCACCTGGCAAGCATCTTTCGATTTGGCCAGCTTGGGCATGGCATCCTGGCGATCTCCGGTGGTCAAACGTCCGTGCGCCGGCTGAACTTCAAGGCCGGCGCCCAGGGGGCTGAGGCTGTGGTTCTTGTGGAAAGAAGTGCATGGAAGTACACGGCATTGAGTCATTTACATGGAAGTGGATGGCGCCACCCGTTTGGTATTCGTTTCTTCTTGGTCTTCCTTTTGGGGCCATGTTCCACTTCCATGATGGTCTAATGGTCTAATGCTTTGGGTCTATCCTTACCAATAACAGTGGAAGATGATGGTCAGGTTGAAGGCCTTGTTCAAAAACATGATAATTGTTTACTGACTGTTACAGGTAATAGCACAGACCCAACTGACTGAACTATAATACTATAACCATCTATTTTCAAGGCTTTGAAGGAGTGCATCCCCGGTCGCCGCCCGAGTCGGATGCCAAAAGCTGGAGTCGAGCGCACGTCACCGATGTCGCTGATCCGGGCGCCTCTTCGGCGGAAGCGGACGGATGTGACTTACATGGAGAATGAGTGAACTACAATGAGTGAACTACAATGAGTGAACTACTACAATCCGCCGGCCTGCCGGCGTGTTTTGTGGATTGTTTTGGTTAGTATTGCTTGTGTTGGTTTCAACCTACGGTTTGTATCTCCGCGCGGATTTTTCGACAGCCTGACGCCCCCCACCCCCCCCCTCTCTACGTCTAAGGTGATTGGACTGAGACATGTCGATCGCTGGATCAGAATAGACAACCATTGGACTGAGACACGTCGATCGCTGGATCAGAATAGACAACCTCTGATTCGGATTCGTTCGATTTCATTGTAAAACGACTTCGCTTGAAATCAACATCAACAAACTCTCCCAGCAAAATGTGCAACTCCAATGCGCCCACAAGTCTGATTGAGCAGGGTATTGTTGTTCGATGTCATTCTGGGTCTTTCATTTCAAACGGTTTGGAGAAAAAAACGACAAATCATGCCAGATCTAGAAATTCTTCGCTCGCTTTGAAGCCTTCTGTGTGTGAAAAAGAATATCTGGTGCGTGTCGCAATCCCTCGAGACGGTCGGAAAAAAGATCTGAAAAGGAAAACATGCAAACGGCCAAGTAGTTTGGAAGAAGAATCGTTTTCAAGGTCATGTTTTGTGGATAGTCTTGGTTCGCATTGCTTGTGTTGGTTTCAATTGGTTCCTCTTAGGTGATTCGACTGAGACATGCCGGTTCGGATCGCTGGATCAGAATAGACAACCTCTGATTCGGATTCGTTCCATTTCATGGTCAAAAAACCTTAAAATAAACATCAACAAAACCCAGCAAAATGTGCAACTCCAATGCACCAACAAGTATGATTGAGCAGGGTATTGTTGTTCGATGTCATTCTGGGTCTTTCATTTCGAACGGTTTGGAGAAAAAACGACAAATCATGCCAGATCAAGAAATTCTTCGCTCGCTTTGAAGCCTTCTGTATGTGAAAAAGAATATCTTGTGCGACTCGCAATTCCTCAAGACGGTCGAAAAAAGATCTGACAAGGAAAACATGCAAAAGGCCAAGTAGTTTGGAAGAAGACTCATTTTCAAGTACCGGCTTTGTGGATTGTCTTGCTTCGTCTGGCTTGTGTTGGTTTCCATTGGTTTCAATCTATGGTTGGTTTCAATCTACGGTTTGTTTCTCCGCGCGGATGTTTCGACAGCCTGCCCTGCCCCGGTTGCTTCAGACTAGGCCATGGCGAGAACAGGAAAAAGCGAGTTGAATCAAAGAGACGTGCCGGATTATATAGCTGCTTCAGCCTAGAAGAGGTGATCTTGTCCCTGCCTTGGAACGAACATAGAACTGTGGAACACTGTTAATAAGCATCATTAGGCTGCCTGCCAATGCGGGCTCGAGCTGGTGGCCGGCGGCATGCCGAAGGCTGTAAATAATTTGTTTGATTCTTGTAGTTCACTCATTCTCAGTGGTTTTCAGGGGGTTGCTGACCCTCTGGAGGAGGATCAATGATCCATTCTTACCTTCATGATCCTTCATGAACAAAAAGTGGAAGTGGAAGGGTCAAACTTCATCGGTCTTCCAGCCGTCCAGGCACATGCCTATGGACCTAAAACCAGTGAATCTTTGACATCAAACACATCGAAT